TAAGACTTGAAGACCCAAAGTCAGTTCTCAACCATGAAGCTCACTGGGTGATCTTGGGCCAATCACTATCTCTTAGTAACCTACCTCACAGGGTTGTTGTAAATAAAAAATCAAGCTAGTAGAGCCATGTATGATGCCTTAATCTCCTCAGAGGAAAGTTGGATGTAAATGCAATAAAAAATAAATCAGTATCACTTCACTTGCTCACTTAAAAATGTAAGATTTAAAAATCTCTCAGCGGGTAGGGGGCTGTTTGAGATTAACTCCAAGCTGCTAAAAATTTAAAGCAATGTAATATAGTGCAACCAACATTATAATTTGAGTGGGTGGGTGGGTGTGGGGAGGAGGACAGAGAGAGAATTCCCATCCCAAGTGTTATGCAAAAAATATTTGCAGATTGGTGACCGATTTCTGGCTTAAACTGCAAGTAGTGTTCATGTCACCAGTAATATAATTTCACATACATGGAATAAACATCTGTCATTAGATTTTAATGTCATCGTAACAGTAAATTTTGCATTTTAATGTGCAGAGAAAAGATTTTGAGTTGAACTTTTAGACCCTATAACTTATACATCATCTCCCAAACTGGCCTGCATTCTTCAAAACACGGATGGGCTTCTTTGCCCTTCCTTCCAAATTAAATTAAGGGTGAAGTGGGGGTGAGCACAATTTCCTCATTTAAATAATTAGTTGGAAACCGATAAAATATATATGAGAAGAGGGCAGAAGGGAATAGAAAATTCTCTTTGCTCTAAGTGGTTCCCATTCCAATCCTGCTTTTATATCAAAATAATAGCAGGCATTTCAGTCTCTTAGTGGAACAAGCAAGAGCCTCTTGGGTAGGTCAGAGGACATAATTTTGCAATGGAATATAAATATGGAAAACTAATGGTTGAGACCATCTCTCAAACTTCTTATTTCCCTCATCTTCTGCTCATGCCAAAATGCCTACAGACTCAATACCTTTTCCACATATTTGTAAGGCTGAGTGGGCTTTTCCCAGTAAGTTTTAAGTTGGTTCTTGTTTTCCTTTGCTTCTACCTTGATGACTGATGTTTGTTTCTTTTACCCAGTTAATCAGCTGAAAGGGGAAAGCGCTAATCAAGATATTGGGAGATGGTGTTAATCACTCAGGACTGTGATGCATATATTTAGAACCCACTATCTCCTTGTGTTGCAGCCCAGATCTGCCAGGGGTTAAGGTGTGGGGCTATGGATTTGTGTAGTATAATAACTGCAGCAGTTGTGTCAGACTGTGGTTGTGTCATACTGTGGTTATCTGAACATACAGTGTGTTCCCTCTGTGTTGAGGGGTTTCATAGTGATTCCCTCTAACCTTCAAGTTATCTGGGCCAGTTCCCTCCTCTCTCAGGTACTTAAGCAGGGAGGTGGTTGGTGAGGAATCGAATGAGGATTGTTTCTGGAACATCACCCTACTCAGCTTAAAGTGTAAAGCTTAGTTGTTTCCCTGGACTTGTACCACTTAATTCTGCTAAATGTACAAACTGGCTGTTAGAACTTTTGTTTGTGCCCCGAGGCAAACCAAGCCCTTTCCCAGTAAATAAATTCAAACGGACACATAATTTTAATTTAAGTTTTTGGGCAAAATTTGGCCACAGCTTTATTGATTACAAAACAAATTGAGCGGTATTGGCCTAGGCATTGGTCAGAGACTATAACTGACTCCAGCCTCCCTGGCTGGCAGTCTAAAAGGGTAAACACCAAACAAGGGAGCAACATCAGTGAAGATCGATTGAAGCTCACCCCGGGATTCCTGTGGTCCTGGCATGGCCCTAGCCCCTCAACTGGACTTCGGACGAGATCCAGGACCCCCAGATTCCTTTACCGGAATACCCTGATTCTGGAGGGGCAGGTGATGGCCACACATTTCTATAAACCAATGCCTAACCGCCAAACCTTACAAGGTTGTGATGATTGCTAAGGGGGTAGGCGAAAACCAAGTGGCCAAAGCCAATCTGCCAAATGGAAAAAAATCCAAAACAGGCGACCCAATCCAAAGCAAGGCCAAAGCAGCAGCACCAAATTAGGGGGGGAGGGGGGTGTTCAGCAGCGCAAAGTAAGTGCCCCACCCACGCCGTGCTGCCGCATTTATAGGACCCCGGGATCACGCCACCTGCCCCAATTGGCTCAAACAGCCAGGCACGATCCCAGGGCCCAACTGAACTGGCTTGGGCCATGCCTAGTAACAACTCAATCCGTGGGGGTGGCTTAAGGGGCTCGAGTGCAACCAGGACCCTCAATTTAGGAGGATCCCATTCATCTGCAGAACATAATCTCAGAACCCACTTACCAGGACTGTGTTGCTGCTGATGATTTTGTTATGAAGCACCCCTAAAACTCCAGCTTTTGCTATGGTAGCCTGCACCTAAAAGGGAAGTTCTGTTTTGTCCTGGAGCAGCAAAGAGAGGGAAACTTGAAGCCGAGTTGGAACACCTAAATCAATTGGGTGCTGTCTCCTTCACTGTAAATCTCTGCCAAACTCCTGCATTATGTGTGAATTAAATAAAATGTCACTCTTACCTCCCTCGCTCCCAATTACTAGAAAATAGTCTGAGGTTCCTGGCTGCAGAACCCAAAAGATATGTTAATCTTTTTTCTCCTACTTATTAGGAACGCAGATTAAGGTGCATTTTTAGAGGCAGTTTCCCAAACATCTTAGACAATCTTTTCCTAACTGGCATAATTTTAAAACTTTTAACACCCGTTCACTGCCAGGAAGACATGACTTAAACTAAATAGGGGGAGAAACAGCAATACTCTGTTCTGGGGCAGATGCAGTTGATCTTTTGGGAGGAAACTGAGCAGCTTAAAGGCAGTCTTGAAGGCAAGATGGATGCCATGGACCAGTCTTGAGCAGCAAAACAAGCAGCTTAAAAACAGACTGAAAGACAAAATGGAGGCCTCCAACATGCAGCTGATGAAGAGTGCGGCATTCCCACAAAAGGAGAGGAGAGCTATGCCTGATCAGCCATGACAGGGGTGCAAACTGACCCAGCATCTCAGCTGCAAGAGTGCCCAGAAAGATGTTTACTTAGAAAGAGATGGGTTGTGCCCCCTTGAGTGAAGAGTGGAGCTAATCAGGAGGCCAAGACATCCTCTGATGGAACCAGTTTGAACATATGGTATCTGCATAATCCCCACTGAGGATTTTAGCCCTCAATTTGAGGGCAAGTTCAGAACCTGGGAAGTCAGCGGTGGCAGCACGAGTGGACTTCTTTGTGTCATTCACTAATGCCCACCCTTCCACTCTAGCGAACCACCAAACTTATTCCGGTGGGAATTAGCTCTCCATTCCCAACACCAATCCAGAAGACCCATCAAATCTTCCCCCTCCCCCCATGACACTCCAGCGAGGCATCGCTGTCATAATCCAAGCTAGACTGCTATGTAGTGAGTTGAATAGGATCCAAAAGGCAGCAGTCTGGTTGGTCCTAGAACAATAGGGTCCAGAATGCAGCAGTCTGATTGGTCCACAGGAGCCACCCAATCCAGCTCCAGGTGGAAATGAATTCGCAACCTGATTGGCCTACAGGTGAATCCCTGAATTAGCCAATCACGTGGGGCCCATTGTGTAAATAATGTATATAAAGCAGACATTCTGGGGGAACTTCCATTCCTCCTCACCACTATGAGATGAATAAAGAGCATGAAATCCACTCTGGACTCCGAGTATATTTCATAGACGTACATGACTCGTCATCCGTGTCACTGGTACAACTCTTCTTCTTCCCTTTATGTACACGTTTCTCCTGATGCTTCTTCACTGGAGACTTAGACTTGGCACTGTGGCTGCCCCTCATCCTCTGCACTGGAAGTGTTGGAGCCAGGCACTCTGCCCCTCTTCTCCACCCTTCCCCCCCTCGCTCCCATGGTAACCATTGCCAGCGGCACTGTGGGGGTGAGGTGCGTAACTGTCTGTGTTCCCTACAAAAGGCTTCAAGAAGTTGCTGCAGACCGGCAAAGCAAAGGGGTAGGGGGTGGCAGGAGGAAATTATTCAAGCTGGAGGGCTTGGGGCAAGAAGGGCTGGGAAGCTCAGAATGCACAGATGCTGGTGCCTGAGGAGAAGCAGGAATCATGTGTGGGTGAAATGGAAGAACCGGTGAAAAAGCAGGGGTATCGGAAGGAATGTCTATTGCCGCTGTAGTCTGAATTGGAGGTGGGCAAAACTGTGAATCAGTAAATAGAGCTGCAGATGTACTGGGAAGCTCTAATGCAGTGGATCGCAACCTGTGGGTCCCCAGATGTTGTTGGACTACAACTCCCATCATTCCTGAGCTCTGGCATTGCTAGCTAGGGGTGATGGGAGTTGTAGTGCAACAACACCTGGGGACCCACAGGTTGAGAAAGGCTGCTCTAATGGCATGTTGACGAAAAGTGGACGAGAGTTATGCAAGGTTGGCAAGGTATACAATGGGCCACTCACCCCCGCCTGCGTACGGGAAACTGGGGGAGCATGAACAGACTGTGGGTGTGCTTGCAATAGGTTGGAAATGGGGGTACCTGGTATAAAACCTTGAGTCGAAGGAAACGTGTGAGTCTGGTTCAGCGCCTGCAACCTAAACTGCTTAATGATTCTGTCAAATGCTTCAGTAAACTGTAAGGTCGGACTGGGAAAGGAGGATCCCTCTGCAATGCTGTGCATAGGAAGCACAGAACCTGATGCCTCCCTGCTAACATTGAACATTGGAGGCAAAGGAGTTTGCAGATCCAAGGAGGCTACACCTTCACCAGAGAGACCTTGAGTGGCAACTGAAGGAGCCTGAGACACTCTAGCAGTCCCACACCTACTAAATGGGGGAGAAGCACCAGGAGCTTGCTTCATCCTGACAGGCATAGCGAAGGATAAAAGACAGCTGCGTATATAGAAAAGATTGCAAACCACTGAGATCACTAATGTCTACAGAGACAAGCAATGGGCAATGGGGTGGCATGATGCAGTCGGGAGTAGCATGACGGGGTCAGCAATCCTCCACCCCCCAGCCAGATAACTGTGTGGTCCCGGATGCCCAGCTGCAACATCACCCACCGGGGAAGGTGAGCGGACTATACCAGAACAAAGCTTGAAACCACAAAGGGAGATTCTGCCTGTTTGCTGCTAAGAGTGACCCAAAAGTTCTGTTTCAATTACCGATGAGCATGGTAGCAGTCTTCTTCACTGATGCCTGCTTGCTGCAGAGGTAGGAAAGACTTTCATAAAGCAGGGCCTCCAACTCCATCTCTGAGCTGTGGTGCCAAATCTAAGTCAAATGTTGTATAGTCTGAACATGATGCACCATCCTCTTGCCTCTGCACCAGAGGGAATTGGTGGCTGGAGAAGGAAGGGCTTTTACCAGGCACTTGGTGATCTTGTGGAGCAGCTCCTGCAGGTTGTAGGCCACCCCTGCCAGAGGACAGCCTCCAGGCTGCCATTGGAGGACCCCCACCAGATGCTTCAAGAGGTCTTTGGCTGCCCTCAAAAGAAGAGGACAGAAAGAGAATGAGATACCCTTATAACAAGAAGGGGCTCCTCAGCTAGCAACTGACATTTTAAAATTGCTGGCTCCTTGCTCCAGTGAACCCAGGAGATGTGCCATGCAAGGAATGACCTTGGAATGGTCTCTAAACTCATGGGGCCCTCTCAGTGGGCAGTTTGCCTTAGGGAGCCGCAACACCTTTTGAGCAGCCCACGTGGGAACTCACCTCTGCCACATCCCCACCCTCACCTTCTATCTGCAGGATCACTGCAGTGAGGTCTCTGATGGCTTGCTTTTCATCCTCATGATGTTCAGGGCACTTGAGAAAATCTGGAAATTTGTGGAAGGCTGCCTTCGTGATCTTTGCCTCTTCATATGAAAAAGAGATGAAGGAAGAACAGTTCCTTGTTTCTGGCCTACTAGAGTTGGATTGCCTGTTTTCTCTGTGATGTAGGTTAGTCTGAAAGGTGTTGATTGGCCCAAGGTGACCTTGTGTGCTTCATGCCTGAGTGAGGATTTGAACCCTGGTCTCATAGGGTTCACAAAGATTCATTAAATCTAAATACAATGTTTTTATTAATAGTTGAAATTTAAAAATGGGGTTGCAGAGAATGGTTATTTTTTGACATTTTGTAGTTTCTGCATTGCAGGGGGTTGGATTAGATGACTCTTTGGGATTCCTACACACACACACACACACACACACACACACACACACAAACAAACACATATTAGACATACCTGAAGTGAACAAGTGGAGATGACTACAGGGGCACTGTGTTTGAAAGAGGGAATATTTTCTGTGCTGCAGTCACAGTCTGTGATTAGAACTGTTGGAGGTGGGGGAAATCATAAATGGTTCAGGGTTCAATATACACCAATATGCAAAAAAGAAACATAAACATTTTAAAAATAATAATCTTGCAAAGTAAGTCAGGTAGATGCACCATGACTTGACCAGGCTAACCACTGAGTTTCATGGCTGAGAAGACTTGAACTGGCACCTGCATCATTTGAACACAACATTCTATTTGTTTGCACTTGGTCATGAGGCACACGCTTTTATATATTTAGGGGAAAGAGCACGTTCTTGACTAAGCTTTGAGCATAATTTTTTTAAAATAAAAATTCTATCAAATCATAATAATTAGGACTCCACAATTTGTGCACAAAATCCCTCCAAATACCTGTCAAGAATACGCTCATGCCTGACCCAATGAAAAAGAATTACTCTGAGATTTCACAGTAAATCTTACAGGCTGCAAACTTAATCCTCATAATATTCAGGAAATTGCAAAGGCACAGACATTAGAAGTTACAACCTTTGTTTTGGCTCTGACTTGAAAAGAAGTGCTGCAAGATTTTATTTCATGATCTTTTGAAAGAAGTCTGGCTTTTGAATATATATTTCTCAAAGGAAGACATGATTAAGGCAACACCAAAGGCTTCACATGCTAAAGAGTACTTACTACAAACCATTTTATAAACTCAACCTTACCACCATATACACAAAGTATTCCCAGAGATGGCAGCTATCCATCCTGGCAGCCACAACCTAGCAAATAATCTGTTCAAAGGAACAAAAGAACGCAACTGCCTGAAATGCCAAATAGTTGTAACTACACAGAGCACATGTCAGTCTTTAAAATTTGCCAGCGTACAGCCTGCACATTCCAAACGAACCAACTTCACATGAGGGAAATAGGAAGTGAATAAGATTTATTTACAAATGTAGGATTTATACAAGGATTAGTTGCTAAGCTCCACACAAATTTTAGATATTGCAAGGGATTCGGCACATGCTTGTTTCGAGGAAGTGTAGTGCTTTACCTTTGTTAACACAAAATTCTTTGCAAGGCCTAATGCCTACTCTTTTGGCTCAAACTGGGGTAAATTTGATGGGCCCCAATCCCTCATATAATCCACAAAATGTCTCATTTCACTGCTTGAAATGTGGGCAGCAAAATGTGGGCGGGTATCTCAGCTCGGTGCTAATGAAGACATATGCAGAGGCTGTACAATGAGAAGAAGAGGAGGAGTTTGGATTTGATATCCCACTTTATCACTACCCTAAGTAGTCTCAAAGCGGCTAACAATCTCCTTTCCCTTCCTCCCCCACAACAAACACTCTGTGAGGCGAGTGAGGTTGAGAGACTTCAGAGAAGTGTGACTAGCCCAAGGTCACCCAGCAGCTGCATATGGAGGAGCGGAGACGCGAACCCAGTTCACCAGATTACGAGTCTACTGCTCTTAACCACTACATCACACTGGCCATTATACAATGTCCTCCCATCAGGCACATGTTTCCATGCCTGTATTCAAATGCCAGGTGGAATGAGAGGAGAATAAAGGTTCTGTTGAGCTCTGCTTCCATGAGAAGAGAAGCAGCTTATGCTCATATTGGGAAGGACCTGTAGACGCCAGAGGCAAAGAGTCTAATTTAGCTTGCTAGTTTTCTCTGTATAAGGATTTTTGTTTGGATTTGGGAGAGGAGGGGGGCAGAGATGCATTGGATCATGTGATCGCTTCATCTGCAGTCTGAAGGGATTCAGTACAGAAGACATTTACCCACCTCACCTGTTGCCTGCGAAAAACAGGCCTATAAAAGACCAGCTCCCATATAAAATGAAATGACTGCCTCATCGCACCATGAAAATTAGGAGAAGTGAAATGAGGAAAGGCATAAATGGGAATAATTTCTTCTTCTTCAAGTAACGGTGGGCTGTGCAGAAGGTTGCAAGGGTGTTTATGTGCAGCTCTTCAACTTCACAGTTATATTGGTAGGTCCCACAACTCATATTTCATTGAGCAGCTCCACTAATTATGTACTCGCACATGAGTTAATCATAGAACAGTATTAGTGTATTTCACATTACATGGTTCTTTGTTCTAAAACTTTTATCTGAAATAGACTACTGGTGATAAACTTTTTAAAAAAAAAATATACAAAAACAAAATCAATTTCTCCTCAGTGCAGCCAGTCTCCCTTGTAATTGGTATTTACAAGCTAGTAATTATTCTCTTGAAATCTATAAAAAAGCATGGTAAATGGTACACATTAGATTTTTCATCATTTGCATGCTACGCCTTCATATCTATGCACTTTACCCAAACCACAATAGGTGGACAGTGATTTCTAGATTATTTACCATTCAGTTTTCTCACAGCCTTTTGTGCTCAAGTCATATGTTTTTTCCTGAGGTTTTCAGCTTAAATAGGTACCTGTCAGCTCCATCTTTAACAGGACAGCTTTAAGTGAATTAGTAAGCCATCCCCCCCCCCAACGTTGAGCATTCCAAAAATATTGTACATTTCAAGAGCACCCAGTTGTTCCAAATGAGCAGCAGACAGAATGGACAGCACAGGCAAGTGGGCAGCCCAGGCCAGCTGGGGGGGGGGTCTGGCGAGTTCTAAGTGGAGGGGTGGTTTGGCTGAGTTTTATGGCAGGGGTTGCTGAGGTGTAAAAGGGGGAGGGATGGTCATTGGTGAGGCTGGCTGGCTGCCAGGAGAGTGGAGCTGGCGAACAAAGTGAGCAGGGGTTCAGCATCTACTAATGAAATATTACTGATAAGGCTGTCATCAAATGAGCATCGTTAACAAAACAAAATGATACTCGGTGCAGCCTTGTCCTCTATTATGAATAAGTTAAATCTGCTAGAATCAATGGACCTTATGAATGAGTAAGAGCAGGCATTGTCTTCTGTGATTCACTGACAATTAGTTTCCTGCAGCCAAGAGCTAAACTAAATGGTAAATTCTTTTGACAGAAGGCAATTTCATCTCTTTAGCGTAATGAAATCGTAATGAGTACCAAAGGTTTCTTTGAGTTGTGCAGTAATAACCTCAAATGTTTGTGATTGAAAATAACTTGTTCTGAAAATGAGAAAGAAAAGGAAGCGGGTATTCACATAATTCACAGTCAGACTCCGGACAAATCTTCAGCAGTATAGTCAGATGTGTTCAAATAATCCATGGCACACGTTCACTCCACCACTCATGCCCATCCTGTGACTGTTCAACTATTGGATTAGAACATTTGTGCACTTGGGGTGTCTTTGCCTTTGTAGTGTAAAAGATTTCAGGGGGAGCACAAAAGCAGGATTGAAGAACAAGCCATCCAAGGAAAGAAAGGCCCTGGAGTAAATTGCACTTTGCAGTTTCACAATTTTGCACAGCAGGTTCCTATTGAAAATCTGCATTCTAATTTCAATTTTGTTGAGTTCTAAGTTGTGAATCTATGACTCTCTTAATTCAGTATTACCAATTGTTCACGTTAAATAAAAAAACTGTTTTTATTCATGTTTAGTTTTGCTCAGAGCTGATCAGCATCACGTTTTGTAGTTTCAAAGATGTATAAATGCTTAGTTGTCCTTACGCACTGGTGTCCAGATAAAACACCTGTGAAGATATATGATGTGATACTAAATGGTTAGAAAATTACCAGAATACATAAAAGAAAGATCATTTGCTGTAAGTGGATTCTTCAAATGCACCACAGATTTTGGAATCTCCACCAGAAAGATCAGATCAGGGTTTGAAGGGCCAGAATCATCATATTCAGTGGTAACACTGTTTTAGTAATGCTTTTGACTTGCACCCCCATCTCTTGGCTTTTAAACCCCTCTAGGAGTTGTAGCTCTGTGAGGAAAATAGGGGTCTCCTAAGAATGCTCAGCACCAGTGCTTTTTTCTGGAGGTACTCAAGGGTTCAAGTCAAAGGCATTACTAAAACAGTGGTACCACTGAATATGATGATTTTGGCCCTTCAAACCCTGATCTGACAATTTCTGAGTACCTCCAGAAAAAAGCACTGGTGCTGAGCATTCTTAGGAGACCCCTATTGTCCTCACAGAGCTACAACTCCTAGAGGGGTTTAAAAGCCAATTCATCTTCGCAAGAAACTCTGGGAATTGTAGTCCTGTGAGGAGAATAGAGGTCTTCTTTTTGGTTAAGGAGAAAAATATGTATAAAGAGAATTCCTGGATGCCAGTATCCAAGTTTGGGGCAAGTACTCTTTGGTGAGGGAACCCCAACAGAGAGTACCCCAACTCTTCAAAGGTGTGGTTCGTGTGTTTTTTCATACAGCATTCAGAAAAAGTTTCACAGGCATTGGTATAGGAACTCAAGAGTGGCTTATGAGAGCCATGTGGTCTGAACTGGAACAACCAGCTCAAACCTCTTTATACACTGAGCTTCTCGAGTAGACTGAAGGAACAAAGGCTTGATTACCTAGTTCCTCCCTAAAGGAGCTGAACCTGGCAGGACAGCTTACTCGTAAGGTCTTAACCCCTTCATGCATTAATTAGACTTAAGCATGTTGCTTATATGAGGCTTGCTATCCTACACTTCTAACTACTCCCAGCACCCCATATGAGAGCTGCAGGCTCACTGCACACTTCAAAATGGAAGAGAACAACAACAACAGATGCAGAGCTAAAGGCGCAATTTGATGGCCCCATTCTAATCATGCTGTTCCTTTATGGTAGTAATGCCCTATGAGGGCTCCTGTGAGACAGGAGTACAGTGTACATTGGCTGAGCTGCTTGTGATATCATGGGAAGTTCACAACAGTTTTGACTGTCGAGCGTCAACACAGTGTTAACAAGCAGTGTAGCTACTTTAAGATAAATTTAAAAAGTTGGCTGAGATGGGAGGGAAGAATTGTGTACTGCTGCTCTCTATTTTAGTAATATTTCACAGATTTTAGGATTCACAATTTTAGCACAGAGACTGGAAGTTTAATCTGGATGTGCAATAAAAAATGTTCGCAGAACAAGATGCACCACATTAGCTATCTGATGTCATCGTGTTTATTTACAGACTCGAAACATGGACAAGCCATATGCAGTGCTCCCCCTTTTTGTGAGTCACGCTAGCCTGAACTTTTGCTCATTTCATTTCAATATGTTCCTCTCAAAGGGTGCATATTAGGCATCTGTCTTTATTAATATACTTTAATTAGGAGCTTGAGAAGTGAGTAATAATCTGGCTAAGGGTTTGGGGGGGAGGGTTTGCCTCAGAGACTACAATCAAAGGACAAGTTAAGTGTTGGTAGAGAGGCATGCAGCAAAAATGATAAGCCTTTGATGAACTGTAATTAGTAATTAAATTATTTCACTCACTGTGCATGACACTGGGCTTCCAAATCCCACATTGCACTTGTTTATATATTGACACATGTACTTTCTGCTAGATGATATAATGTGGGCCATTAGCGCCCCCTTTTACAGCCTCAGCCTCTTTGGACCAAGACTGCTGAATACACCCAGTCATCCACCACCAACTCTGCCAAGTGCCCTGTTCCTGCAGCCACAAGATGTGTAGCCTCACACTCTGTTACTGCCTGAGTGCATTTGAACATGGTGTTGTGTATAAGAACTAAAAAGAGTCTGTTGGATCAGGCCAATAGCCCATCTGCTCCAGAATGCTGTTCTGTCTTCACTTTGGCCAAGCCAATGCCAATAAAATCTGGTTCAATTCCTAACTCTCTCTGTCCCTCCTGCTCTGTCTCTGACCTGTTTGTGCCAAGTCACTTCCTAGTATCTGTGCCTTCCCCTCAGTGTCAATAAATTTCTCTCCCTGTGTGCTGCCCTAGCCCTCTTACTTAGTTCCACATACAGTGGTACCTCTGGTTACGAACTTAATTCATTCCGGAGGTCCATTCTTAACCTGAAACCGTTCTTAACCTGAGGTACCACTTTAGCTAATGGGGCCTCCCACAGCCGCTGGCGCATGATTTCTGCTCTTATCCTGAGGTAAAGTTCTCAACCCAAGGTACTACTTCTGGGTTAGCAGAATCTGTAACCTGAGGTGTTTGTAACCCAAGGTGTTTGAAACCTGAGGTACCACTGTACTGTACATACGCTTCAGGTTACAGACTCTGTTAACCCAGAAATATTGCTTCAGGTTAAGAACTTTGCTTCAGGACAAGAACAGAAATTGTGCTCCGGCGGCGCAGTGGCAGCAGGAGGCCGCATTAGCTTCAGGTTAAGAACAGTTTCACGTTAAGTACAGACCTCTGGAACAAATTAAGTACTTAACCTGAGGTACCACTGTACATTGTTACAATTAATAGTATTTTGTATTACAGCTGGAAGGAGCTAAACCATTTAATAGGTTAAAAAAAAAAATTGGTCACGTTGGAGTTTTTCACAACAGGGAGCCTGTGTGGATACCATAGCACTGTTGGATTCCTGATCAATCTAGATGGAGGAAGTCCAGATCTTACAGCATGGTCAGAAGAGAAGCTTGTTCCCCACAGCAGTGCAGCGTTGGAGTCCAAGGCATCTCTCCCATCCTGCCTTCAGCCAGCCTGCCAAAGATGAAGACTCTGTCTTGGTTCTCCCTTCTCCTTCCCATTACACCTTGCTAAAGACACTCTTTTCCTGCCGCCGCTCTCACACACCCCATTACTTTGGTACCCTTCGTCTGACCAGGCCCCTCTTAGATGAACACCTTTTGTAATGTCAACACCTTGGCTTATCCCTGGGGCTAGTCCTGTGAAGCTGCCTGGGCTTGTGGTCCTAAATGGAAAGCAACAGTGCTTGGCTTAGTTTTAATTGACCCAACTTTGCTTACTTCATGAATTTATTAGTTTGCTCAAATTTTAGCTCTTTGCTGACTCTAGAGATTATGGTGAGTCCCCTTCCACAAACGCATAACAGATGGTTACAGTTGTACATGTCAATGACAAAATGTGTAATTTCTTTAAATTTATTTTTATATTGTCCCCTTACAACACCTACCCTAGACTCCTAGTCTGTCCACAAGGTTAAACTGAGTGGCAGTCTTGATATACCTGGCAATCCGCCACTCCCATGTAAAATCTTGTTCTGGCATCACCAGTTTACTTTGGAACCTACATACAGTGCAGAACAGAATCCTTCATGCAGTATTCTCCCTGGAATTTCTCATAATTCCTTGGGCTATGTATTGTATAGAACAGTAACACCACCCCACTCATTCCTTTGCCAACACAATTCTACCATAAAGTTCAATTACTGTGAACTTACTTAAGTTATCTTACATTCCAAACCAGTATCTCTAAAACTGTAGCATGTCCAAAGTAAAGGTTGTCTGTTTTCTGAGACTACCATAGACTATAGACATGATCCATATAAACAACTATCTGACTTTTAGAAGACATCTGAAGGCAGCCCTGTTTAGGGAAGCTTTTAATATTTGATGAATTATTTTATTTTAATATTTTGCTGGAAGCCACCCAAAGTGGCTGGGGAAACCCAGCCAGATGGGCGGGTGTAAATAAATTATTATTATTATTATTATTATTATTATTATTAGCCAAAAGCACTGCCATGCTTCAATCCCATAGATTTCACAGAGATCTAAGCAAACACCCTCACATTGAGCTAAATTGTAATTCACTTTGGCTAGATCGAGCCCCTTTGCTTGACAGATGCTTTATTCATGCTGATACTTTCTCATTTGTTTGTCATTCTACACACCATTTGAAAAAGTTTAAATAAATCCTAGCATAATGTGCTTGATATAGGGACATATGGGGATAAGAGGCACAACTGAGGTATAATTAGAATGGACGGTTTTAGCTTCTCTCACTGATCACTCAAAATTTGTGACAGTTGCATCTAAGAGCAACTCAACACTATAGACCATGAGAAAGGTGATTAGAGGGGAACGCTCTACTCTCTTTGCTCAAATAATGAAATGATTAGAAACTGAGCCTGAACAAACAGCTCAGAAAGTGCAGCTCTTTTATTTAGACTAGTGAGGTTAGTTCACACCAAACAAGACAAATTCTCATTCTTGTCAAAAATGTGAGAGAGTGAACAAAAGAACAGTACAATATGAAAATCATGTTACAGAGGGAAATCGCATAAAAGGAACCTCTTTGCGCTCTCATGACCACTGAAACATAGACGTCTCTTACCCAGTAATTACCTGAATATAACTGATGGATTGAATGTGTGCTCTGAATAAAAAATTGAGAGCATGCATAAGACTAGTAAAGAATACTAACGGGGGGAAAGCTGGAGCCATCTTCTAATATGTAATGCATCTTATTAAGGAACTCTGTTTTCTTTCTGTGTTTCTTTTTTAAATAAATTTTATTAAGGTTTATAGAGAAAAATACCAAATGTAATACCTTTTTCATTTTTTAAAAAACCAAACCAAGACTTTAATCTAGATACAATAAAAACACCAAGGGGGTGGGGAAGAGAAAGAAAAATATTTTTTTTAAAAAAAAGTAGCAAAGAGGTTAAAAGAGAAATATATAAAAATAAGATTCAGAAAATAAAGAACTTCCAATTCTTCATCTGTCCACTATATAAAAGCAGCATTCACCTCGTCCAATACATATAACATTCAACAAAGCCACTTTCTATAAACAAACATTATCTTCAATCCTCAAATCCAGATATCAGTATTTCTTCTTCACGCAAAAAGTCTATGAGAGGTTTCCAATCTTTAGCAAATGTTAACAATGACTTTTCCCTGATTAAACAAGTCAGTTTTGCCATATCAGCTAAGCGTGTTCCTGATATTGTATTAAGATGTGTCAGAACTGAAAACTGCCATTTCCACTATGCAATGGTATACTAACACATCAGGTGCCATCATCTCAGAAGAACTGAGTTGAAGGTAACCCCTGAATATCCATCTAGCCCATAACTTCTTTCCAACATTAAACATAAGAGGAGTCCTGCTGAATCAAAGTGAAGGCCAGTATTCTGTTCTCACAGTGGCCATCCAAATGCCTATGGGGAGCCCACAAGAAGGGAATGAGGGCAATAGCACTCTCCCACTGTTGATTCAGAAGCAAGATGCAAGGTTATATATCAGTAGTGATGAGTAGAAGCCATTGTCCTTAGTAAATTTGTCTAATCCTTTTGTAAGCCCTTTTTAGAAAGTTCACAAGCAGGACACATAAGGGGGCAGGGTTCCTTGTTCGTGTTCAGCATCTGATTGTCAAATACGTTTAGCTTTTGAACGTGGAAGTTCAGTGGCTATCATGGAATTTCCCTTATATTATCATGGCTAGCTATCAGGCATCATTGACAGCAGTATTCTCCATGAGTATGCTCAATCATTTTAAGAGCTATCTAAGCTAATGACCATTCTGTGCCAGTGGATTTAATAAGTTCTATGTGTTGCTTGAGGGACGTGGGTGGCGCTGTGAGTTAAACCACAGAGCCTAGGACTTGCCGATCAGAAGGTCGGTGGTCTGAATCCCCGCGACGGGGTGAGTGCCCGTTACTCGGTCCCTGATCCTGCCAACCTAGCAGTTTGAAAGCACATCAAAGTGCAAGTAGATAAATAGGTACCGCTCCGGCGGGAAGGTAAACGGCGTTTCCGTGCACTGCTCTGGTTCGCCAGAAGCGGCTTAGTCCTGCTGGCCACATGACCCAGAAGCTGTACGCTGGCTCCCTCAGCCAATAAAGCGAGATGAGCGCTGCAACCCCAGAGTCGGTCACGACTGGACCTAATGGTCAGGGGTCCCTTTACCTTTACCTATGTAATTGAAGATAATTGTCATTTTGTTTGTCCTGGGCCTGCTAGAAATTAATATTTATCATCCTTTCTCTTACATGCTCTTCTTTTAAACTGAATCTCCCAAGCTGTTATTTGAATTGCACATACCACTGCTGCCCTGATCATTGCATTTATCCTATTATATTTGTCCTGCAATATACTTTTTTGAGACAGGACAACCATATTTGATGCATATACAGCTCCAGCTTTTGCTTTACTACTGCTCTTCAGACGATACAGACCCATTGGTATTAAGTACTGGATAGCACCAGAAATTTAAGGATAGGTTGCCAAGTTATATATATGTATAGTCAAGAATGCTGTGGTAAACAAAGGCCCTTTTCTCTTGAACTAAGTTTCTTAAGATGTTTGATAAAGCAGGGCATTCTTTTCACTCACGATTCACCAATTAGTTTATACTTACTGTCCAGCTTAAACAGCAATACAAGATACTTCAGCATGGTGTGGACAGTAGTTGAACTTTAATATATCACTGGACATTGCTCATTTTTGCTGGATGATAAATTACTTGCTGGTTGCTAGAATTTTTGCTGGCCAAGGCAGGCCTAGTTCTAATTGAAGAAAGCACTTCTTCTGTTTTTAAGCTTTAATGCACAGGCAAGATGCATTATGACTTGACTTTTTAAGAGGTCCTGGGCATATACTTTTGCTTGGTACATTTAAAATACATCAATAGATCATAGATGTTCTAGTAAGAAAAAAGAAGAGAAAGAAACACCCTGCAGGACTGAAGTCAGTCCACCTCTCCCTTAGCATACTGAGAATCAAGGGCCTCCATTAAATTAAAGCTGTGAAGAATAGCAAGGGGAGGAAATCCTTCTGAAGCATATTGATTCAAAGTTGTTAGTGTCTCATCTAATTTAAAATCTATTCTAAACTCAATAACAGACAAGTGTACATAAGATAACTGCTAATGAATGTCATCTAAGCTTGAAAAGGAAAAGGAGGCTAATATTATCTGAGATCATGAATTCTGGGTAAAGAGAGAAGTGCTTGGTTTCTACAATGATACAAGCTTGGTTTAGAAACTGAAACTGTATGAATCAAGAATTATATATCAGGTCAAGGACCAAGCCTATGTTGTGTTAACATAAACAGGCAGAGCAAGGCAAATCCTCCCCAAACACCAGAATTTTCTACGGTCTTAAAATAACTTTTACACAAGTACCACTTAGTCCTTGATGTTGTTGAACTATGAATTGAACAGATGAACCAAGCAATGTGATATTGTGGCAACACTGAGGTGGGCTTTCTCACTTGTGGCCCCAGGGTTGTGGAATGCTCGTCCTGCTGAAATATGAGAGGCCCCATCAGTATTGGCATTCTGCCAGCTTTGAAGACACATGTGTTTACACAAGACTTCAACCTCCTGTTTTAATTTCAAATCATTGTCCTATTTTTTTTGGTATGTTTTATTGCACCTTTTAATTGTGCAGGTTTATTTTAACATTTTGATGAAATTGTTTTATTGTGCCTTTTAATTATGTGTTTCTTGTAATTGGTTTCACATTTGTAAACGGCTTAGAGGTCACCTTGGCAAATAAGCGGTATATAAATTAATAAATCAGTTTCGGACTATGTTACATCATGACAGATTGGAATACTGGGAACAGTTTGTACTGCCTTTACTTCATAATTGTCAGCCAGAGGAATTATGAATACTTGGGTACTGTTCTCTTGATCTGGGTTTACTCCCTATGATACTCAGCTCCACAATAATTACAATGGTACCTCAGGTTACAGACACTTTAGGTTATGCGATTTTGGGTTGCGCACCGCGCCGAACCCAGAAGTACCGGAACGGGTTACTTCCGGGTTTTGGTGCTAGCGCATGCGCAAAAGCACTAAATCGTGCTTTGCGCATGCACAGAGGCACCAAATCATGGCCCTTGCAACCCGAAGTTCCACTGTAATTTAAAATGGTATTTAAAAAATCAGTAAAACATCAAAATGGTATAAAAATAGCACATAAATAGTTCACCTGCTGCTTTTCAATATTGGCCTAGAAGATGACTCTTCTTCTCCATCAAAAACTTGGAGGAAGAGGTGAGCACAGAACCTACACAGTATCAGGACCAGCTGAATCACAAGAAGGTCATTCCAGAACTGAGGTGCCACCTCTGAGAAGACCCTCTCCCACATAATTGAACTGTGAATACCACTTATGAGATGGGACAAGGAAAATGGCCCCACTGGCAGATCTTTAAGCCTAAGCAGGACAATACAGGGATAAATGCTCTGTCAGCTAACTAGGCACTATGTCATTCAGGTCATCACTAAAACCTTGAGTTGGGCTTGGAAGCATCAGGCAACCAGTT